TTCCACCTGTTGGTTCACTCCCCAGATGGCTGCAAAGGCCAGGGTTGGGCCAGGCCAAAGCCAAGAGCCTGGAACTCCATCCGGGTCTCCCACGTGGGTATCATGGACCCAAGTACTTGGCCCGTTTTCTGCTGCTTTCCCAGATGCATTAGCAGAGAGCTGATTGGAAGCCAAGTAACTGGAACTTGAACTGGTGTCCATGTGGGATGCCAGCACTGCAGGCAGAGGTTTAACCTGCTGTACCACAATGCGGGTCCCTAACTCACATATTTATAACTCTAAAATATAATATTTTAAACATTATAAAACATAAAAGTAGAAAATTAGCTTTCATTTTAAAAATAAGTATTTAATTTGGGAGTTCTTTCCAAGGACAACCTTACCACTTCAATGATTTTAGGACTGTAGGATAACTGGTACTAAGTCCAGCAATAAAGAAGACATAGAGTTCAATCTATTAAACTGTGTTCTAAAACGTGTTCAGATGACAAACACTTGGAAGTTGTAGTGTTGTCTGGAAAAAAATTGATAAACTTAATTTCACCAAAAAAACCCTAGATTTAATGTTCTAACATTAAATTCAGCTGTATTTTACATAAACAACCCCATATTATCCTGAATACATGAAATATTTTTAAGTTACATAAAATGTTCTATCCACTACTGATTGTTCATCCTTAGTTTTTGTTCTGTTTTCATTGAAAACTTATAGAAACTCACTAATCTTTAAAGAACAAACATGAAGGAAGAAATGTTAAAATTGAAAGGTTCATGATTTTTATGTGAATGAGAAAGAAATCAATTTAGTAGATTATCTTAGTCCAACTTGCTGAATTCTTCCCTATGAGCATAACTTGAGAATCATTATGACATGTGTTTTAAGCACCTATTATATTTAATAAACTATGCAACATGTTTTTGTGAAAACAAAGAAAAGTAAGATATAATCATTAGTTGGGAGGTGCTGTGGCACAGTACGTAATCCTCTGCCTGCAGCACCAGCACCCCATTTGGGTGCCGTTTCTAGTCCTGGCTGCTCTTCTTCTGATCCAGCTCTCTGCTAAGGCTTGGGAAAACAGTAGAATATGCCCCAAGTGCTTGGGCCCTGCACGTGGGAGACCCGGAAGAAGCTCCTGGCTGCTGGCTTTGGATCGTTGCAGCTCTGGCCATTGTGGCCATTTGGGGACTGAACTAGTGGATGGAAGATCTTTCTCTCTGTCTCTCCCTCTCACTGTCTGTAACCCTACCTCTCAAATAAATAAATAAAATCTTTAAAAAAAAAAAAGATATAATCATTAGCCTCAGTTTATAAATTTACAGAGATTTTACATTCAGACTTGGAAACAAAAGAGGGAGTAACAGCAAAATTGAAAGTGGGTCCAGTGCGGGACCGGTCACTGGTCTGTCACCATGGGACTTCATATATTTAGTCTTTTAATGCCCTGAACACCTCCTGGATTCTTCTTGTGTGTTAGTCTCATTCTTTTGACAGTAAAAAGTTCCATGCATAAGGGGAAAATGACACAGAGAATCTACCTGCTCAATCCTAAATTGCACACCTGGAATTTAACTCTGAGGGATATATGGAAGAGGGAGAAACTTGCCCCTTTGCTTTTTTTATTTTTTTGACAGGCACAGTGGACAGTGAGAGAGAGACAGAGAGAAAGGTCTTCCTTTGCCTTTGGTTCACCCTCCAATGGCCGCTGCGGCAGGTGCATGGCGCCATCTGATGGCAGGAGCCAGGTACTTATCCTGGTCTCCCATGGGGTGCAGGGCCCAAGCACTTGGGCCATCCTCCACTGCACTCCCTGGCCACAGCAGAGAGCTGGCCTGGAAGAGGGGCAGCCGGGACAGAATCCGGCGCCCCAACCGGGACTAGAACCCGGTGTGCCAGCGCCGCAAGGTGGAGGATTAGCCTAGTGAGCCGCAGCGCCGGCCACCCCTTTGCTTTTAAAAAGTGGAGATTTTAACATAATGGGTAGTCCCTCCCACATACACAGGAAGGACCATAGAATACTGGGTAGCAAAAATTTGTACTTCATTACCAGATCAATTGCCTAGCAGCTCAGGTACAAGAAATATATTCTAACACAAAATTATTCACAGCCAGTCCACCAAATCAAACATGTCTGATGGGGGGCATTTGATGTAGTGGTTAAGATAGAGGGGCTGGGAGTATGGCATAGCAGGTCAAGCCACCGCTTGCAGTGCTGGCATCCCATATGGGTGCCGGTTCGAGTCCAGGCTGCCCCACTTCCAGTCCAGCTCTCTGTTATGGCCTCGTAAAGTAGTAAGAGATGTTCCAAGTCCTTGGGCCCCTGCACCCGTGCAGGAGATCCAGAAGCAGCTCCCATTGTTGCGACCATTTGGGGAGTGAATTGGCAGATGGAAGACTTCTCTTTCTCTCTCTCTCTCTGCTTCTGCGTCTCTGTAACTCTTTCAAGTAAAATAAATAAATCTTAAAAAAAAAAAAAAAGATACTGCTTAGAGACCTACATCTCATATCTGGGTTTGAATCCTGATTCTGATCTCAATTCCAGGTTCCATTAATGCATACCCTGGGGGACAGCAGGTGATGGCTCAAGTAGTTGGGGCCCCTGTCATCCACATGGGAGACCCAGATTTAACTCCTGGCTTTGACTTGGCCCAGCAGTGACTGTTGTGGGCATATGAGGATTGAACTAGCGGATGGGAGATTTCTGTTCATTTGTCTGCCTTTTTCTCTTCCTTTCAAACAAAATATTTTTTAAAATTCAGATTTGGCACTATTTTTCTTCAAGTTCTTTTAGGATGGACATTTACTTCATGTTTGACCCTGTTCCCACTATTTACTGATGTATGTTACTCATCCTGACAGTCAAGTTTATAACCCTGTTATTTTGGGCACTTGAATTTGTTAATTTTTGGACCATGCCTTCTAAAGTTGGTAGAAGTATAGTCTGAATCATGATCAATACAAACAGAAATGGGAGGTTTACAATTCTAAGTTCTGATTCCAGGTGACATTGAAGAGCATAAAACAGCATTCACCTTGGGGCAGGCGTTTGGCCTAGCTATTAAGACTTTGGTTAGAGTGCCTGTGATCCATATCTGACTGCCTGGATTTTGACCCCAGCTTTCTGCTCATGCAGACCCCAGGAGACAGTGGTGATGGCCCAAGTAATTGGGTTCCTGCCACCCATGTGGGAGACTTGTATTCTGTTCCTAGGCTCCCAGCTTCAGGCTTGACCCAGTCCAGCTTTATGTTTGATCCAGTCTCCATAATCCTGGACATTTGAGAAGTGAATCAGTTGACAGGAACAATCTCTTAAATGAAAACAATTTTTTAAAAGTTCACTTTTATTAAAAAAAAAAACAGTGATTCAATGAGTTGGATTACATTACTCATAGTCTATGAAGGGATGAATGGATGAGGGGAGCCGGCTATCAGATTAAGACCAATACTCAGAAGTGTATATTTTCCACTTGACGTAAGGAAAGATCTTTTTTTCTCTACTTGAATTACAACTTTAGGGAAGAAATAAACAAATGTCAGAGGGGCAAAAAAGAGTTAAGAACTATGATCCTGGAATCAGTTATAACACTATACACTTCTAGATTCTTTGCAATTGTCCAATATGTTATTTACGTAGTATGCATCAGCTTTGTAATAATGATCACTAATAAAATTCTTTAAAAAGGGCTCAAAGTGTTATCTCTGGGGGCACTAAAAGGACAAAGTGAAGAAAGCTGATTTTCCCCAATCAAATAGATTATAATAAAGCAGAAAGAATGAACAGGCTGCATCCCTGCATCCTCTGACAAGAACTACAACTACAGCAAAAAAACAAACAAGGTATAAAAATGAATACTGTAGTTCATCAAGCTGGGATAGGTGCTTAGGTGAAGAAGCATACGCACCTGCGTATTTGGGATTCTTTGATATCACTTTATTATGTAGGAAGTTACTACACAAATAACCTGTTGCACTAATTAAGGGAGCTTATCGTTTCTCCCTATTTAAATTAATAAAAAGTATTTTAAAACTCTTACCTAGAAATATGATTGTTGGCCACACAATGCTTCCCAACAGAAACAAATTAAACAATGATCATGGAACAGAAATAACACCTAACCACTGCACATTTTAAAAAGATACTACTTTAGTTTACACATATTAACAGGCATCATCCTCGCATTCACCAGGTAAGTTTTCAAATTGGACCTACTTTTGTAATGTTAGATGACAGGTACGGAGGCTTTGAAGCCAGGCTGCCAAGGTTAGAATCATTTTCTCAACCTTAATGTATCCTTGGCATCTTCCTTTTTGTGCCTAATCTATGCCATGGGAAGAGTAGCAATGCCTATCTCAGTGTCCTTGTGATAATTACATGAAATGAAATGTGCCCCACAGTTTCTATACTTGCCAAGTAAGTACTTAAACTAAGTTAAAACTAAGGTTAGCCCAAATTAAATTGGTTACTTTTACACCAAAGAGGGGTTTTTCTGAATCATCTAGGCACACTTTCCTCAAGTCTGAAAATAATCTTAATCACTTAAACTCCAGCACTCAGTTTCTCCGGAGCACCTTCCCTGAGCGCTTTAAATCAAAGAAAATCTTTTCCATTTCTTTACAATCATTTGCAGGAACCTGAAGTACCCTACACTCCCCCGCCGTCCAGTACTGTCCCGGCAGGACACAGCAAGGGATGGTACTGGCGACCATTCACCCAAAGGGAAAATGAACACGGCACGCCCATCCTCAGTGAACGAGGCGGAGAAAGCACAGACACGCAGCGCAACAATCCTCTCGCCCACATTCATTTTGAGCCTTCCAGCAGCATAGAAATTCTCGGGTAAGCGCACGACATCACGCGTGACGCCGGATTTATTTTCCCACGTCCCGTCCCTGCCCCCTCCTGGCCGGAGGCGGCAGAAGCGCACGCGCTGCTCCGCTTCCGGGCGCCGCTCCTCGCTACCCAACATGCTCCGCGACGCCGACCTGTCGCAAAGGCCGCGTTTCGGCAGCGAATGAGCGACTTGCTTTCCGGGCGGTGCGGCGGCGACGGCGGCCGGGTCTTCCTCCTCTTGCCGCGGGGCCAGATCCCCCGACGGTATCCAGCTGCGTTTAAGTCTGGCCGGTGCCACCTGTCTCCGCAATGCCCCCCAAGAAACAGGCTCAGGCCGGGGGCAGCAAAAAGGCGGAGCAGAAAAAGAAGGAAAAGATTATCGAAGTGAGTACCCACCCCCCTCCCCCACTCATTCCGCGAGTCCTACGGGAAGCAGCCTCCGACTCCCCGGGGCTTCGGCCCCGGGCTCCGTGGGCCACGTGTCCTCCCTTTCGACTCCGTGTAGCCCACTGTCCCTTCTCCAGCCCCCTGGTGACGCTTGCTACCTCTCATTGCTATAGTGACGCTGCTGGCGCCCGCGCACCTGGGCTCTGCTGTTCCGCCTACACGTAGCTCGCCTTCACCCACCCGGCTGCGAAGCGACCACCGGGCCCGCCACAAGGTTTCATCCTTGTGTAGCACTTTTCAAAGCTGGAGACGTTTTCAGGGTTGTGTTTTAAAAAGTGCTGTGAACGGGCTTGGGTCAGTCTTTCTGGAAGGCTGACTCATGACGGGTCTTTGTGTTCCTGGGTAGGTTTTTTTTTTTTTTTTAAACCTTCAGAAGTATATTGCTAATTTTTTGAAGCCAAGCGATTATTATTTGGTGACCTTTTCGAGCCACCTCTTTAAGAGTCCTATAAAGAATGGCGGTTTCTTTCAAGTCATAGCTAGCTCAGCCGTCTTGCACGTAGTGCTTGATAACATACATTCTGAGTCAGATTACGTAGAATAGCTCTTTAAAAGGGATTAAGGATGTGTCGTTAGCTGTATGAAATACCATACTCCAGTATGTTTTTTTCTGTATTCGTTTATTAGGTAACCCTTTAATAGCCTGTTGATTTTATGTGCTCTACACTTGTTTTCAAACGACTGTATCAGTTCTCCAAAGTGAACTATACTTGACATTTCGTAAGCATATTCCAGTAACGAGATTATCTCCTTCCTCGATTTCTATTACTCCTTCTCATAATTAAAATCTGTAGTACCGCGAGTACTTTTGAGTATAGTTTGAAAGACATGACCATTTTACTGCATGAGGGTGTCTGATGGACAGTAAAATGCTTACGAAGAATTAAGTTACCTTGGCCAAGTTTCAGCTCCGAAATAGAACCTGTATTCTTAGCTAATTTGTGCAGTTTAAAAACCGTGCCTGGTAGCGATATTTAAAAACAAAATAATTGCCATCACACCTCTGTTCACCATCACTTTTTCTTTTTACATTTTCTACTATTTGAGAGGCAGAGAGTGAGAATGCACACACTCCTCCATTGGTTCACTCCCAAATGGCCAAGACTGGGCCAGAGCCTAATATAGGCTTCAGGAAACAGGAGAGAGGCAGGAATCTGAGTTACTTGAGCCATCTCTGTTGCTTCCCAGGATTTGCATTAGCGGGAATCTGAAGTCAGGAATCAAAGGCATCAAATCCAGGTATTCTCATGTGGGACTCAGGCATCTTAACCACTAAGCTAAACTCCCACTCCCATCTGTACTATCACTTCTCTGAACGATCTGGATTCCTGCCACTTGGGTAAATCTGAAGATGATGATCTGATGACATTTATTGATGTAAACCAAGGACGGTTTAGGAATGTCATTCTATTTCTAAATTTTCTTTACTGGATTAACGTAATAGACTATGATACAAAGTAAAATTCCTATATGGGGGCAGGTGTCTGGTGCAGCAGTTAAAAGACACACCTTGGAATGCCTGCCACCCATATCAGAGTGCCTGGGTTCAAGTCCAGGCTCTCTCCCAATTCCAGCTTCCTGCTAATGTGCACCCTGGGAGGCAACAGCTGATATCTCAGGTAATTGGGTATCTCAGGTAATTGGGTCCCTGCCCCATAGGAGACCTGGATTGCATTCCCAGCTTTTAGCTTCAGCCTGGCTATTGAGAACATTTGAGCTGTGAACCAGCCAATAGGAGATCTCTCTGCATGTCATTCTCATTCTGTCTCTTTCTCTGCCTTTCAAATAATTGAAATAATGCAAATTTAGATGAGAAAATGATGTTACATGACAATTTAAACTACGCTTTATGCATAAATATAAATGTTGGGTTTTTTTGTTTTTTTTGTTTTTTAATTTTCTATTTGAGAAGCAGGCAGACAGAACACCCATCTTCTGGTTCACTCCTCAAATACTTCCAGTGCCCAGGATTGGCTGGGCTGAAGCTGGGAGCCAGGAAATCAACTACTGAAGTCATCGCCTGATGCTTCCCAGGGTCTGCACTGACAGGAAGCTGGAATTGGGAGAGAACCAAGACTCAGACACTCTGATGCTGGCTTCCCAACCACCATCTTAACCACTAGACTAATGCCTACCCCTGTTTTATTTTTAATGGGTAGGGCTAAGGTTTATAAGAAAGTGTATATGAAAGTTATTTATAGTATCCCATCAACTCTAAAACCATAATAATCTTGTAATAAGATTATTAAGATAAAAACTTTAGTTAACATGAGTGAAGATAACTGCCAAAGAAAAATACAAGGATTGCATTCTTTAACTGACCAAAGAAATGTTATATAAGTGATGAAATCAGGCCTGGTTTATTTGTTTGCCTTTAATATATCAGATGAGCTTTTTTTTTTTTTTTTAACTGTAGTAAAGTTCTGCAGACTCAAATGTGCTTTATTGATGCTACACTGAAAGGGTATAAGAATACTGTAGATAGTTAGGTCTGCTCTGGTTAGGAAACAATATATTTCACTTTATTCAATAGCATAGACAATGTTTTCTGTCTTCCCTAAAGGTCCAGCCTGTCTGCAGAGGAAGTTTAACTCCCTGCTCCCTAATCAAGTTTTATACACTTTACCCATATTTTTGTATGCATTTCTAAAATATCAAGTAAAATGACTTTGTTGTTACAACATATAAAAATTAAAGTGAAATATATTTTGTGGCAGATTCACAATGAACGTAATTGAAGCCTGGTTCAAACTGGTTATTAATCTATTTGGTTATTAAAAGTTTTGTTACCAAACACTTCTCCATATTCTATTTTGACATGTAAAAACTAATACTTCAGAGTCTGGTTAATTTGGGGAGATCCCATGTATATGATCTGAAGTTCTAAATTTAGTCAAAATTAACAGGTAGACCATGTGCTTTTAAGCAGCTGTCTTGAAAGAACTTTAAAATAAAATTGTTGACTTACATACCTGTCCCGTGCCTCTAGTGTTTTTTCTGCCACCACTAAGAATACTTACTATGAAAGAACAATAACATGTAACTTCTGAGAGTTCTTCAGGAAATGAGAGAATACATGAGATGTAGTATAATTTAATGAAAGGAGCACCAGCTTTGGAGTTCAGTAGACCTGGGTGAAAGTCCACACTTCAAATGCCAGGCTTTGTTATTCGGGACAAGTTACGTGTCCTGTGTGAGCCACAGCTCTCATTTGCAAAGTGCAACTAACTTTTAAAATGTTCCAGAGGAGTGAGTTAAATGATACAGTATGTGGAAAGTGCCTGCCATATGACGTGTATTCAGTAAAAGGTGGCTACTATTACTAATACAGGATTACAAATTAGTACTAGTTGGGAAATAGACTGATTTTTCCCTCTCAATATGGTGCTTGCTCCCTGCCTACCTGAAGTAATTTCTTTTTATCGCCCCTAGGTTTTTCTTCTATAAATGCCCTCAAATTGCATGAATTCATTAGCACTAATAAGTATTTTCTTTCTAAAACGGTATGTCAGAGGGTTATGATTCTGTTAGATATTCACATATTATTCCCAAATGATATATGTCATTTGTGTTCTTACTGCTAAAATCTTACAATAAATTGAAGTCAGCTTTGGGCAGTGTTTGGTTGTAGAAAGGGAAAATAATCTGGTTTCAGGGCAAATAAAGAATGCATAGATAAGGACTATTAGCAGCAAGGAAGGTGCTAATACAGACCTATAGAGATCGGATCCAGGTGTGTAAAAGAATGGAGGAAAAATTACTGGTTTATCAAAAAAATTTCAGCTGTGGTCAACTGTTGATTATTTGATCAATCAGTTGCAGACTGTCCATTATATTAATGGACAACAAAATAACATTAAACAGTGCTTTTGAGGAAAAGTTAATTAAGGTAAAGTGATGCCAGCCTTTGTTTACCCTGGCATTCTGAGGTAAATTTCAGTTACCTTGGACTGCTCTTTGATTTTGACCCACCCTTCCCTGCCTTGTTTTTTACCACCATCTTGTTTAAGGAACAGAGGCTGTCTTGTGAAGGGAGCAGAATTATCTTAAAGGTGGGAAGGGGGAGGAAGGGTCAGTGTTTTAAGAGAAGTCTGCATTTCATTGTGTGTTAAGACTCTTGGAGCCTCAGGGAGGCATGCTTTTTCAGCTGTCTGCTTTCTAAACTCTATTCAATTCCAAATTGTCTTCTGAAGCGCATGCACACTTCCTTCCCTATAACTGATTTTTTGGTACCCTGTTAATCTGGTGAAAAGCATCATTTCCCTAGTTTTATTTTAACCGTGACGTGGAGTTCACTGTAACTTTCTTGTTTCTCACTTCATAGTTCCCCATTCCTAGATTTAAGTTAATCCTTAGTTAAGGATCTGTTCTAAGCTCCAGGAAAAAGGAAGAAGCCTTTTTGAAGAATTCCAAATTGTAAACCAGCCTGTTTTCCAGAGGCATTGTGGCATCCCAGATCTACAATGTGATATTTAGAAAGTTTTTAAAGTACTAATCAGCCCAGTAACTTAACCAGTTTTCTGTAGGAGTACATAGTTTTTCATGGTAGAAAGAACAAGTACTTTCATTAAAGTCAAATACATTTTGGTTTAAATACCACCTTCCATTTAATAGTTAATGATGGGCTACACACAGTTCTCAGTGTTTTGGGGAAAGGAGAGGAAAGAGACACACAAGCCATCTGTCAGTGATACGTACAAAGCTCCCTTAATTCTGTTAGTTAACTATTATTACCCTTTTTATAGTTTGAGGAAACAAGAACAGATTAAATAACTTGCCCAAGGTTACTAAACAAGCAAGTAGCAGAGCCTGGATTGAAACCCAGGAAGTCTGGCTTTTGAGTCCTTAGTATCAACCACTGCGCTGTACTGTGTCTCTATAGTCAATCTTTTAACTTTCACAATAAACCTAAAGGTTGAGAATTAGACTCGCTTTCCAGTTTAAAACAACAACAACGAACCAAAAACTTTGGCAAAGAGAATGATTTCCCAGCTCTGGTTGGTATTAGATCTCAGGCAGTCCAGCTACAGAGCTTGTATCTTTATACCACATTGCCTGCACCTTATTAGTAGTGTAACTTCAGAAGAGTGGTTTGCCACTTCCGAGTTTCTGTATTCAGATTTCCAGAATGAGGTGTATCATAGAACTGTTGAAGATTCAGTAAAGTATGCATTCAGAAGTCTCTGTTTAATGACTGCTAGATAAATGTGTCTCACTATAAAAATAGTTTGATTTCTAATCTAATTGGAGACTTCCAAAACACAACTCATTCATTATCTCTTCAGACTGGTTAATCATGTACTAAAGCAGTTTCATTAAACCTGAAAACTTTTTTCTTCTAGGATCTGTAGTTTATATATCTCTACCAGAAACTACCTCTGTGAGTACTTTTTTCCTAACTGACCAGGTTACTTTAAGGGACTTTTTTTTTCCTTCCTGGGATTTTATATATTTATACCTACCTTGCTATATTTGGCCTTGTTTATTCATAGTTTGTATTTCTGTAATTATGTATGGGTGATGGTTGAACACTAGTCATACTATTTTCTGGCAAAGCATTTGTAGATGCTGTTACACTTGTCCTGATTCTGTTTTACCTAGAGTCTCATCTCCCCATCAGAGCTCATCTTTTTTTCTAAAAGAAAACTAGTATTTCAGACTTAGCTGCTGCACTAAGATCAACTCTCTCCATATGTCACATTATGCTTGACCATCTTTCCTTCAAATTGGATTGTGTTAAGCTTTCTCTTCTGTAAAAATAAGGGCAACCATCTATAAAAACTCGATGAGGAGAATCTCAGCTTGTGTGTACTTCCTACTATCCTTTTTCATATACATAGGCATTAGAAAATTCATGTGTGATTTTGTAATACCATATTGGGATGGTAAAGTATGAGGCAGGAGCTGGTGGTTGGCACAGTGATTAAGACACCACTTGAGATAGTCACATTCCATATTGGATTGCCCAGGATCAAGTTCTGGCTCCACTTATAACTCCAGTTTCCTATGAAGCACACCCTAGGAGGCAGCAGATCATAGTTCAAATACTTGAGTCCCCATCAACCACATAGGAGACCCAGATTGGATTCCTGGCTCCTGTTCCAGCCCTGGCTGTTGTATTTGTTTGGGGAGTGTGAACCAGTGGATGCATGTGGATTTATCCACCTGTCTGTCTCTTGCCCTCACTCTCTATCTGTGCTTTTCAAATAAAAATAAATTTGACAATCCCATGTTAAAAAAAAAAAAAAGTTGAAACATGAAGCAGGTATTTAGTGTAGGGAAAAGCAAAGTTTTGGTGTTTGGATGGAGATAGATGTCATGCATAAAGAAATATTTCCCTTGGGGCTGGCGCTGTGGCTTGGCAGGTAAAACCAGAATCCCATATGGGCACCTATTTGAGACCTGGCTGCTCTACTTCCAATCCAGCTGTCTACTGTAGCCTGGGAAAGCAGTAGAGGATGGCCCAAGTCCTTGGACCCCTACATCCATGTGGGAGACCCAGAGGAAGCTCCTGGCTTCTGGCTTCAGTTCGGTGCAGCTCCTACCATAGCAGCTTTTTAGGGGAGTGAACCAGTAGATGGAAGACTTCTCTCTTTCTTTCTCTGCCTCTGCTTCTCTGTCACTCTGCCTTTCAAATAAATAAATAAATCTTTGAAAAAAAAAAATGTCCAGGATGAAGGATAAGGTGGGGTGAATTGGAATGAAGTTTTAAAAAAATGTTTTATTTGTTAAAAATAAAAGTATTTCCCAAAGAGAAACAACCTTTTAGAACCTAAACTTTCTTGAGCTTTTTTACCTTAAGAACTGTGAAAGATCTGTTTTATTATTTGAATTGCTGTACAGGTTGTCCTGTGGGATGTTTCAGAAGCTAATTTTCTCAAAACTATTGTTTTCCACTTGCAGCTTGTCCACATAGGAGATATTCAATATCTGAATTGCATTTAGTGTATTAACTGCCTCTCAGAGGATCGATCTCAGGTTACTTTCAGAAGTAGGCTTTTTGCCTCATTCTTTGCTGAAACTAGTTATAAACAAGAGAATGAGTAAGAGAGTAAGAAATACAAATCTTATTTTGAAATTAGGAGAGATCTAAAATTTAAATGTCAACATGTAAAGATCTGACAGTGGATATGTGAGTTGGTACCTGACTTAGTATAGCAGAGCAGTCAGGGCTGAGTGCTTACATAGAAGTGCATTGAGATTCAATTGCGTTTGCTTGGGAGGTACTAGGTAATATAGGTGAAAGACAGAAAATTGGGCATTAGACATGTTTCAGTAGCTGATAGTTCTTACTTAATATCACTTGATGAGGTGACTACCCTGCAAGAAACAGGAGGTATATTTTTTGCAGTGGGGGAGGATCAAGGGAAAAGCAGCACAAGATGGCATAAGTGTTTGGGCTCCTGCCATGTACATGGGAGACCTGGATTAAGCTCCTGACTCCTGGTTTCAGCCTGGCCCGTCTGGGAGAGTGAATCAGAGCATGGAAAACCCATTTTCTCTCTCTCTCTCTCTCTCTCTCTTTGACTTTTAAGTAAATAAAGCCTTAAAATAAATAGATAAATGTTGATTTTTTGGGACTGTTACCCAAAAAATTAGTCTAGGCTTATTGCCCTCCTATCCAGTGGATTTTCCTAGAGAAATAGAAAATACACAGAAAAAAAAAAGACTTGCCGCCCATTCACATATGGTAAAACCCATTAGTTACACCCACTGTATTAGTTTTTCAGGGCTGCTATAGCAAGTTTCTAAAAACTAGATGTCTTATTCTCACAGTTTTGGAGAGTACAGATATAAAATCAGGTGTCAGGAGAGCCATACTCCTCTGAAGGTTGTAAGAACTTTTAGTTTCTGGTGGTATCTGGCAGTCTTTGGCATTCATTAGCCGTGTCACTCTGTGTATCTATCCTTCCATCTTCTACACTAGTTGGACTTAGGGTCACCCTAATCTAGTGTGACCTCATCTCAACTGCAAAGACCTATTTCCTAATAAAGTCACATTTAAAATCAAGAGGATGTGATTTGGGTGGAGGTGGGGGTAATTTTCCAGTTTACAGTCCCTAAACACACATAAACACACACACGCCCTGGATTCTAGGTTTTTTTTTTTTTGTACTGCATGTTCATTAAAGATGAACAGATAGCCAAAGACCCCATGAGCACCTTACACATAATAAGCATTCCATAAATGATAGCCACTACCATAGTAATAGTATAATCATGGTCCCTTAATGATAGAGGTAATTCTGAGACCTACATCATTAGGCAATTTCGTCATTAGCATATTTACACAAATTAACATCACTAGGTGATACAGTGTTAAGTCATTATATAAATGGAGGAAGCACATGAATACATTCTGAAACTGTAATATGAATATCACAAATGAATTTTTTAGTAGTATTGCTTAGGGGCCAGCATTATAGCATAATAGGTAAAGGTGCCACCCATGACACCAGTATCCCATGTGGATGCCCTTTCAAGTCCCAGCTGCTTTGCTACCCATCCAGCTCTCTGCTAATGGCCCGGGAATAGCAAGGAAGATGGTTCAAGTGCTTGGACTTATGCTACCCATGTGGGAGGTCCCAGTGAAGCTCCTGGCTCAGTCCTGGCCATAGCAGCCACATGGGAAGTGAACCATCAGATGGAAGATACCTGTGTGTGTATAACTCTGATTTTCAAATAATTTTTAAAAAAATGTTGCTTGGGGCTGGCATTGTGGCAGAGCAGGTTAAGCCTCTGACTGCAATGCCAGCATTGGTATGGACACTGGTCCAAGACTGGGCTACTCCACTTTCGATCCATCTCCCTGCTAATGCACCTTGGAAAGCAGCAGAAAATGACCCAATCCTTGGGTTGCTGCACCCACATGGGATACCAGGAATAAGCTCCTTGCTCTTGGCTTTGGTCTGATCCAGCCCTGGCTGTTGCAGCCAGGTGAAAGATCTCTCATTCTCTCTCCCCACTTTGTTTCTAACTCTGCTTTTCAAATATATAAATAAAGAATTGTTGCTTATTAGGTATGCTTTAATTTTAGCATTTCTGCTTTAGTGACAATTAGGAATGTGTACATTTCAGTTTGACTCCATTATTAAATTAGTAGTTTTTGAGAAGCTCTCTATGGTAGGACTTCATATCCCAGTATAACAACTCTGTGTGGCCCATAAAATAGTTGTTTTGAAATGCACTTTGGAAAAAGCATCATAGAATAAAAAGTATGTGTTGATTTATAAAGAATCCTTGGTAATGTTTTGTGGTCATTATGTTGCCTTTTCTTGATGTTTGAGTAGTTTTTTACATCTGTTTGTATAGCATTAGGAAGAATATTTTTTCAATCAATAGGTTAAGAATCATTTTTAGGTATAATTGGAAGAAATATAGTAATATACATTGCTGAGGTATTTCCATGTTCTCTGTCTTTTAGGACAAAACTTTTGGTCTAAAGAATAAGAAAGGAGCAAAGCAACAGAAGTTTATCAAAGCTGTCACTCATCAGGTTAAATTTGGTCAACAAAATCCACGTCAGGTAAATAATTTATATTTTTATATTATGAGTGTAATAATATATAACATTTGTTACAGATAAAAATATTTGGTATTATAATTTTATTTCCAAATGAAACTTAATTTTAAGGTTTTTTGCATGTTGCCTTTCTTACACAGATGTATATCTTAAATATTCCTGCAAGCCATTTTGATATAGTTCTTTTCTGTTGTAAAAATGACTGCATACTATTCTATAGTACAGATGTATTTTATCTGTTTCAGTACTCACAAGTGATCACTGTGTTTGCAACTCTTCTACAAGAAGTATCTATATGTATTCTTACATGTGGTTATGCTTTTACTGGTATCCCTGTGAGATAAATTTTCTAGTAACTTTCTAGTTCAAGGGAAATGAATTTCTAAATTTAACAGATTTGCCTAATCACTTTCTGTGTTATACGTTTTCATCTAGAGTAGGTACTAAAGTTCTTTTTAATGTATTCCAGTCTGATCAGTGTAAAGATGTCTCATTATTGTTTCCCTGACTATTGGAGAGTTTCTTTTCATGTGCTCATTGGCTATTTGGGTTTGTACTTCTGTGACTGGACTATTCAAATCCTTTACTTTTTTGATTTTTTTTTCTTGTCCATTTATGAAAAATACCTTTTGTATACACTGCAGGTAATTGCTGATATTTCAGCTATATTTTGCCATACAACAATTTTTAGTTTTGTCACCTATGTAGTTTTTAACACAGTTGAGTGATCTCTTCTGCCACTAGGCAATGCATGCTTTTCCTAGATTTTTTTTCTATTTTTATTTTCACAATCTACAACTTGTCATATAAATTTATTTTGCATATCCTTAGGTTTGTTTTTCTTTAAATGAATAGCCTTTTATACCATGATCATTTATCACTGAAGTTTGAGCTATATTATGCTCTTATTTCTAGTTCTCTCTTCTTTTCTACTTATTGTGTATCCCTGAGTATCATATTGATTTTTATTATGGAGACCTAGTAATAATTCTGTTACCTATTAAGGCAAGTCCTTTCCCCAGAATATTCTTCCTTCTATTGTTGTTGGCTGTTCTGAGGTCATACGAATTTGGAATTTATTCATTGGCAACTCATGCAAAAATATTTAGCTCTTTTTTCCCTTAAAGCTTTTATAGATCTTTTATGTGTTCAAATTTTATAGACATAGCTGTTTATTTTCTTAAAGGACTTTTTTCACTGTTCTTAATTCCTTGTCCTTAACTTATAGAAACACTTTGTTTTGTTTGTAATTATTTGAAAGGCTTGGGAGTTGGGGAGAGAGGAGAGAAAGAAAGATAGATCTATATCTTATCTTCTGTCATCATCTGGTTCACTCCCCAAATACTCAAAACAGCCAGGGCTGGGCCAGGCTGAAGTAAGGACTGGAAGTCCATCTGAATCTCCCACGTGTGTGGCTGGGCCGGGCTGAACCCAGAAGCCTCAGACATCATCCAGGTCTCCAGCATGGGTGACAGGGACCCAAGTATTTAAACTCTTTAACACAGGAGAGAAGAATTTCTAAAGTGTTTAAATACACATTCATTTTTTTCACCTGAGAATATCAGAATATGTATTTATGAGACAATCTGTATCTGCAATAAATTTCTTTAGGTTGTGCTGACTACATGTCAGTGCCCAACATTTTTCTTTTCCCCCAGCCCAATTCTGGAACCAATAACTTGTTCTTTCAAGCTGCTAATTTTAATAGCCTGGTTTAATAAAATGTGCTGTTAACTCTCAGTATCTGTAAGTTCTGCATCTGTGGAGTCAAACAACTGGGAATCAAAAAGATTTTTTTTTTTTAATGTTGTTACTGGCATTTACTATGCAGTTAGGCCTATGGTGATTGATGGTTGCCTCCATACTGTACATATACAGACTTTTTGTTGTTATTCCCTGAGCTATTTTACATAGCACTTACATTGTAATCAGTTGTTAGAGGTAGTCTACAAATAAATGTGAGTAGGTTATATGCAAATACTTTGCCATTTCATACAAGGGACTTGAGCTTCCATGATTTGATATCCTCAGGAATTGGTCCTGGAACCAGTCCCACATATGGACATCCATGGACAGCTGTATGCTCAGAACTTGGAGTCAAATAGACTTGGGTATCAGTTGTACAGCAGAAGGACAGTTAACCCTAGTAGGGCTTCTCTGGTGGTTAAATGAGACAAAAATGTAAATTTTCTGTTAGACCTAGGACTGTAAGAAGTATTCACTTTCTTCCTTTACTCTCTTTTTCAATCCTATTTCAATCCTATGTTCCCTCTCCATCAAACTTTTTTTTTTCTTCTGGGGGAAGTATTTTGAACGATTTCAGATTTCACAGATCTGGAAAAACCGTAAAATTTGTGGTGGTAGTTAGGTTTTAGAGTACATTGAATATTGTACGTTCGATAATTTCTTGACATGTGGGACTTTATCTGTGAACATGGAGCACTTTAACCACTCACACTAAATTTAGAAGTGAGCAGCAATCCTGCTCTTAGGGCTGAACTAAGGTGAGGTGCCCTATGGCTACAGAGGATAGCTGTACTCTTATGTCTTCTCAAACATGTCTCTTCCTCACACGTAGAGTCAGTGAGGCCAAAAGGATGTACCCACCCAGATTTTTTACACTGCTCCCCAAAACAGCTTAGAGCCCACTCTCAGGACTTAGAAAGGCCTATTCCCCTTGCTCATCTCCACCTAGGATTTGCTGTGCTGCCAATGTGCCTAAAGTTGACAAAGGGAGAATTTGTGCAAGGAGGGTAGACAGAGCCTGGGTTTATACCGTTTTTTTCCCCCATGCCTTTTACCTACCCCTGTACACATAAGGTAGAATAAAACTGAGAGTGGAAAGAGGAGGAAGAGGAGCTGTGGGCTGACTCAGTAACCACCTTGCTTCAGTGTGAAACTCTGTGGAGCCTGAGCATTTTAAATTTGAACCAGTCCTTCCAAGTCATCAAGTATACATATTTGTAAATTAGTAATACAAACCATGTTTTGCTTAACATTATCTTGATTTCTAATGTTTAAATACTTAGACAAATAGTTTGTGGATCTCCATTACTCCTGCTCTTTTCCCACATGTTTGAGGTGGGCCTAGTGAGCAAAGAGTATTTTTAGTAGATTTATATAAAGTAGCTTTTTTTTTTTTTTGACAGGCAGAGTTAGACAGTGAGAGAGAGAGAGAGAGACAGAGAGAAGGTCTTCCTTCCGCTGGTTCACCCCACAAATGGCTGCTATGGCCAGCGCGCTGCGCCAATTCAAAGCCAGGAGCCAGGTGCTTCCTCCTGGTCTCCCATGCGGATGGATGCAAGGCCCAAACACTTGGGCCATCCTGCACTGCCTTCCCAGGCCACAGCAGAGAGCTGGACTGGAAGAGGAGCAACCGGGACAGAATCCGGCGCCCTGACCGGGACTAGAACCTGGGATGCAGGCACCACAGGCGGAAGATTAGCCTAGTGAGCCACAGTGCCAGTGCTTTTTTCTTTTTAAAAAATGTTTTCGTTTAAACACTTCCACCATGTGGTCAGGGCCAGAATTGGAATATCTTTAACCTTATTACAGCATTTGGCCATTCGTTTCCTAAAATTTCTTCCTTCAACATTTTTTATCCTGATTGCTGCCTACTTCTTTGATGTTTTTTAGTGTTTATAATGGACTGTTTACATCCTGTTCACCCATGTAATGGTATTATTCAAGGAATTGTCCACTACTCTTGGCACTTTTTTGTAATTTGAATAATTTCACATACACTCCAAATTTTAACCAGTTACTATCTAAGCTATTACTTCTAAAATCTTTATCTCAAACCAGACTTTTTCTGGTTTCATGTAATCAGTATCTATATACAACTGCCTTCTAAGTAACTCCACCTAGCTCCTCTGTAAGCATCTCATACTCGGTATATCCAAAACAGATCATCTCTACCTTCTACCCTGAAACCTGTTCCTCCTGTATTCCCTGTCTTGTTTAACAACACTAGCCATGCATATGATAATCCTAGACTCCTCCTCCTTACCCCTCAAGCTCAGCTATTCATTTAATCAGTTATACCTCCTAAAGAGTGCTACCTGTCTTGTTTTCTCTGTCCTCACTACTAATACCCCCATTTAAGCTCTTAACGTTTTCTTGCCTACAACAATTACAATGGCTTCTTTGCCTTCATTCTTAGATTCTGGTTCTATCCTCCACAAAGCTACCATCAGGATCCTTTACAAAATATGACCTGATCTTGTCACTGATTTTAAACTCTTTTAAGTTCTACTTTATCACTACTGATATGGTCCAGATTTCTCATGGATGTTTCTCATACCTTGTCCCTCTGATCCTGGTGTCTGCATTGGCTGGCTCTTTCTGCATTTCTTCTTTGTTGCTCTTCTTTCTTGCTCTTCAGTAGAATGCATCCAGTTTTCAGCTCAATCTGATTTTCTTAGGCATGTAGTCATTCTTTGTTCCCAGATTCCCATATATTATTATACATAGATGTTGACATGTCTGTCTTCCCACTAGGTTCTGAGCTTTAAATAAGATCTTTGTCTTTTCACCTTTGTATTCCCTGTCATCTAACATAGGACCTGACATGTAAATGTCTGGATGACTCTTCTAATGATATTAGGTATGTAAATTGTGTGCCTGGAACTATGTTACATGTTTTGTTTAGTCTCTTGCACTGACCTAGCCCAGTGTTTTCCCACAGGGACACTGTAGGTATTTGGGGTGGTACAATTCATTATTCTGTGGCACTATATGTTCAGAATATTTGCATCTCTGATCTTCAAAATGCACCCACACATTTCTGGGGAATGGGTTGCTTTCATAGGAAAAATGACCCAGGTGAGAACCATTTACTAAAAATGCTGGGCCTGTAGTAAAAGCTTAATGCTTGTTGCTATAAGCTTTTGAATACATATTTTTAACTAGGCATGATACCATTTGTAGAACAAAAAGAATCATTACAAGATATAGCAGTTTTGTTTTATAGTTCAGCCACACATTTATATTTATAAATACTACAAGGCTATTTTAATACTTATGTTAAAAGGTAAAGGCTATATACCTATCAATATGCAACTGTACTTGTTACATTAGTGACTACCATGTATTGAAAAGAACTTTGTAGACCATCAAATTTACATTTTAAACCTGGGAATATTATAGGTAGCACAAAGTGAAGCTGAGAAGAAATTGAAGAAAGATGACAAGAAGAAAGAATTACAGGAACTAAATGAGCTCTTCAAGCCTGTAGTTGCTGCTCAAAAAATTAGTAAAGGTAAACTTTAAATTTCAGAGGTGTTACATTATCAAATGTAATTTAGGTTAAAAAGTGTTGATTTACTGTGTTTATCTTTTTTAGATTATAAGCCAATTGTGTCTGCTTTGGAAACTGTACCACTTTGTCAAAATTAATGTGCATCAATGGCTTGCTTAGGGCTCCTCTATACAAGGATATTTCAGAAAGTTTGTGAGAAAATGGAATTAAATGATAAGATTTGAGACAGTTGTTTAGTCTCATTGTAGCTCCTTACTCCAGCTTTCTACTAACATAGATCCTGGGGGCAAGCTGTGATAGATAGCTCAAATAATTGGGTTCCTGCTACCTGCATGGGAGACCTGGGTTGAGTTCCTGGCTCCCGGCTTCGGCCTGGCCCAGTTCTGGCTGTTTTGGGGAGTAAACCAGTGGGTGGGAACACTTGCTTTCTCTCTCTCTCTCTGCTTCATTTATAAATAAATATAAAATATAAGTTTGTTTTGGTATAAAAAATTTGAAATTCATGTATAGTTTTTCATAATACACATCATTCATGGACTTTTTAGACATCTGATAGGCATGGTTTCAATTTTTTGTGCTGAAATAAATTCATCTTTTCATTCCCATTTTCCATGAAATTTTTGAAGTGCCCTCATATGTGCAAAGTTGTACCTTGGTACAAGTAACTATAATTGCCCCGTACTTAAGGCAAATTTAAGGATTTAGAAAGTCTACCAGTTGATTTATAATATCCAGTCTTTGGGCCGGCGCCGCGGCTCCCTAGGCTAATCCTCCGCCTAGCGGCGCCGGCACACTGGGTTCTAGTCCCGGTCAGGGCGCCGGATTCTGTCCCGGTTGCCCCTCTTCCAGGCCAGCTCTCTGCTGTGGCCAGGGAGTGCAGTGGAGGATGGCCCAGGTGCTTGGGCCCTGCACCCCATGGAAGACCAGGAAAAGCACCTGGCTCCTGGCTCCTGCCATCAGATTAGCGCGGTGCGCCGGCCGCAGCGCGCCAGCCGCGGCGGCCATTGGAGGGTGAACCAACGGCAAAGGAAGACCTTTCTCTCTGTCTCTCTCTCTCACTGTCCACTCTGCCTGTCAAAAAAAAAAAAAAAAAAATCCAGTCTTTGATAGTAGTCATGGCAAAGCATAGTTGTATAAACTGTCAGTTGCAAATTTTTGGCAGTATTCCTCTATTTATGTGTTTCTCTTGCCTTCTGCCTCATTTTCTGCAGTTAGACTAATGACTATGGAATAACCCACGGTTGTGTTTGGTTTCCCATTGCCTGCTGCCTTTCTTAATGAGAAGAAAAGAAACAAAAATAGATTTAAAGTACCACAGGAAGGACTTAAAAGAAATTTCTTGATAAATAAATAAAAGTGATATTTTCCTCTAACATCAGTGAATAGAAAAATCATCATTTAACCAAAAGTAATTACGTGTCACATACAAACTATGCTTTATGATCTAGCCAATGCTGTTTGTCATAGGTGCAGATCCCAAGTCCGTGGTATGTGCATTCTTCAAGCAAGGACAATGTACTAAAGGAGATAAGTGTAAATTCTCTCATGACTTGACTCTGGAGAGAAAATGTGAAAAGCGGAGTGTTTACATTGATGCAAGAGATGAAGAACTTGAAAAGGGTATTTCTTTTAACATTCTCTTAAAAGTGAATACCAGTTGCCTTCGGTTTGTTAACTAAGATATTAACTAACTTGAAGAATATTTCAATTTTAGGATTATGTTTGTAAAAATAATTGGATTTAAGAGTTTTGTTAGGTTATGAATCTTATACAACATTCTCATCTGTTTAAGGAGATAGGTATAATGGAAGCATTAGATAAAATTATTTAATCTTCATAACTCCTTTTATTTAGATACTATGGATAATTGGGATGAGAAAAAGCTGGAAGAAGTAGTGAACAAGAAGCACGGTGAGGCGGAAAAGAAAAAACCAAAAACTCAAATAGTATGTCCTTTTCTTGAATTGAGTTGCTGTGGTATTTATCATTAGACAGAATTATGTGGCAAGGTATTTGCTGCTATTTTCTACTGCATTTTTCTTTTTAAGTTGTTGGGAAATTTCATTTCATCAAAATAAGGTGCATGTTTTTTGGGTGGGATTATGTGAGCTATATTTGATGATATTAAATTCTTCAGAAAAAGCTTTTGAAAGTCATGTAATACTGAAGTCTTTTAAATGTCGTTTTTCTGAGGATTTTACTTCCCTGAATATGGGTTGAATTCAATCATATTCAGATAGGGATTCTTTTCTTATTTTTGTTATAATGAATGGAGATGCGTTAAACAAACCCACTTAATTAAATTAATTAAATGCTTTGTTTTGATGCAAAGAAGTTTTTGATTACAAAACTGCACTTTTTTTTTTAATGATTTTTTGTTTATTTATTTGAAAGGCAAAGTTATAGAGAGGGGAAGAGATAAACACAGATCTTCTATCCACTGATTTACTCCCCAAATGGCTGCAATAGCTGGGACTGGGCCAGGCCAAAGCCAGGAGCCTGAACTCCATCCTGGTGTCCTATGTGGGTGCAGAGATCCAAGCACTCGGGCCACCTTTCACTGCTTTCTCAGACTTATTAGCAGGGAGCTGAATCGGAAAGGGAGCAATCAGGATATTACTATGTACAAATTCCAAAGTGAATTTTTGGTGGGTGGTGGCTCTAGTATTCCAGAAAATGTACCGCTAAGGATTATTGAGTATTTTCTCAGACTTTGCATTGATGTTGACATACTCATCTATAATCTCATTATAGTGAAAAATCTTAGTGTGCTAGAAAAATTCTAAAATGTTAGTTGCACAAAACTTTTTTTTTAAGAGAAATCCTGTTGGTTACTTTTTCCTTATTCGTAAAGCTTATGACCACAATCTCCAGTACAGTTGTATTTTGCCCCTCTATTCATGTTTTGAAAGGTACCTATACTTTATGTTCCTTTTGTGCCTTGTGCCTTATGCCCTTGTGACTCAGATGTAAGAAATTTCCTATAATGTCAGGTAAATCAAATAGTGTTTATATAGTTACTGTATTGATTAATTTTTAGGAACGATAAGAACAAAGTAACATTTAATCCATTTATACTTTTTAAAAAGCAAACTTTGGGATTACATATATAAAGAATAACAAGCAACTTTTTGTATAATTCAGAATGCAAAACAGTGACTAAAATAGAATAAATATTGATCTTCTCTAAAGAGAATATGCCATTGTTTTAATTGTTTTAAAATAAATTTTTATGTGTATTTCTGTACATAAGAGTATTCTCTACCTAGGTGGTTTAGCCAGAGGGTATGAATAAGATGTATTTATTCCATATACTTAACCATTGACCTTGGAAATAAATGACACTGAGCCACTAGTGAATAATATTGTCTCTATAGGTATGCAAGCATTTCCTTGAAGCCATTGAAAACAACAAGTATGGCTGGTTTTGGGTTTGTCCTGGAGGGGGCGATAATTGCATGTATCGCCATGCACTTCCTCCTGGATTTGTATTGAAAAAAGACAAAAAGAAAGAAGAGAAAGAGGATGAAATTTCATTAGAAGATCTAATTGAAAGAGAGGTAACTAATATTTTTCCTACCACTAAAAAAATAAGAAGTATTGTGGAATTCTAACAGTTACCGTTTGGAGGCAATAGCATATTATTATGAAAGGGGAAAAATATTGTGACATTTTCCCAAAATTTCCCGTACTTTGATTCTTATGTATCTAAAATGTAAATCTAGGCAGGTCAGTAATTTTTGAATTTGTTAAACGGTTTTTTTCTGACTAGCTAGTGGGTTGTCAAATTGCCCGTAAGACTGAGTTATCAAAAACACTTAGTCTCTTCTTAGATTGAATATATAGTTTATATCTTTTCTCTGGTGCCATTTGTCCCCCACTGTAATACTAATTAGCACATATATAAGAGATCACCTTTTTTTAAAAAAAAAAAAAATTTTTATTTATTTATTTGAAATTTGGAGTTAGAAAGAGAAGGAGAGGCGGGAGGTGCTGTCTTCCGTCCGCTGGTTCACTCCCCAGTTGGCCACAACAGCTGGAACTATGCCTATCCAAAGTGAGGAGCCAGGAGCTTCTTCTGGGTCTCTCATGAGGGTGCAGGGGCCCAAGGACTTGGGCCATCTTCTACTGCTTTTCCAGGCCAGAGAGCTGGATTGGAAGTGGAGCAGGCAGGACCCGAACCAGCACCCTTATGGGATGCCAGCACTGCAGGTGGCGGTTTTATGTGCTACACCACAGCACCGGCCCCAGAAGGAGATCACTTATTCCAGTTTTTCATTTATTTTTATCATTATTCCTGGGTTCTAAATACTAACTTTGCTGATACAGGAGGTTGCATCTATGTTGTGTAAACACTTTGTGTTGAGATTACATACATTTATGATAAACAGACATGTTTGATTTCTCACATAATGGATATATAATAATGGATATAATAGTACTATAATAGAAAACATACACTTATGAGTAAGGTATATTTGAGCTTGTGTCCTAGTTCTGCCTCTTGTTAGCTATTAATCTTTCGTAAATTTCCTATCACCCACTGTTAGCTTATTTGTGTAGATCAATGTATTAGCATAAATGTGTAAATCATTTAATACTAAATACCAGGCTGAAGTTCAGCAAGTATGAAGGGGTTGGAAATTGTGTGTCATGGAAAACTACACATGACTTCAAATTTTTTGCTCCAAAATAAACTTAGTTCCGTTTTACACAAACTTTTTGAAATCCCCTTATGTGACTTTTTTTATCTATTTATTACTCAATTATTGGCCCTGAGAAGCAGTTGATTTTTTTTCTGTTTAGTTTTATTTCTCTCCTGAGAAACACAAATGAAATTTGATACTGCTGTGGTATTCTTTATATTTATTGTTTTTTAATATTGCTTATGTTAAAAAATTTTTTCATCATAAATGTTACTACTCACATTCAGTGCTGAGAAGATAGCTAGCTCAGAATAATCTATTTTAACTATCTGTGTCTGTGGACACTCATTTTCCCAATTCTCCTATAAAACAAAAGTAAATTTATTCCAAATTTAATGTCTTCAGGATAGTCATAAGCAGATGTTAATTGTATTAAGAGAAAGCTGCTATTAAACCTACTGTAGATCACTTTTGGAGGAAAAATTAACTCTTTATATTTGCAGCGTGCTGCCCTAGGCCCAAATGTTACCAAAATCACTCTAGAATCTTTTCTTGCATGGAAAAAAAGGAAAAGACAAGAAAAAATTGATAGACTTGAACAAGATATGGAAAGAAGAAAAGCTGACTTCAAAGCAGGCAAAGCACTAGTGGTATGTGTCAAATTCCCACAGTTGATTCTTGTTTGATTTTATAATTTTTGGGTCATACAAGATTTCACCCTTATGTAATCATGTGAATGTCTAAAATCAGTGATTAAGAAGTTTTTGAATTTTGGCTGATTTTATATTTATGTCTTACTAGATCAGTGGTCGTGAGGTATTTGAATTTCGTCCTGAATTGGTCAATGATGATGATGAAGAAGCAGATGATACCCGTTACACCCAAGGAACAGGTGGTGATGAGGTAAGAGGAAAGTTTTCTCCTCATCTGCTTATGTGTAGGAAAGAAACAATTGAGACAGTAGAGCAGCATGGTGAAAAACGCCAACACTAGAGCCAGAGTGGCTCAGTTCAAATCCTTAGGCTGTCAGTGGGAAATTACTTTGGGCCTCCATCTGTGTGTAACTTGGACATAATGCTAATCATCCATCACAGTGCTTGTGAGAATTAAATGAGTTTAAAGTCTTTTTTTGTTTAATACTTTTAAAAGAGCAGTGGTGAGATAGAGGATGAATTAGAAAGTACAGAGTTGGGAGTGTAAGAAAATAGCAGAATCACTCGGGAGCAAATTTAGTTATCACAGGTATACTGTTGACTTTTTGTGTAGTTGTCATAAAATTTTAGCCTCTGAGTTCCAAGAGACTGTTATAATGTGATGTCAGAGGAAAAAGCTTCACATTTGGCATTGCTGTTCTTTTTTTAAGAACAAAATTGAATAGTGGCCACACTTTTTTTTTTTTTAACTTGGTATCAGTGATACTTTTGTTTCATTAAGACCAAAGTAAAACTAATTTATGAGGGGTCTTTTTTTATTTTTTTGACAGGCAGAGTGGACAGTGAGAGAGAGAGAGAGACAGAAAGGTCTTCCTTTTTGCCGTTGGTTCACCCTCCAATGGCCGCCACAGCCAGCGCGATGCAGCTGGTGCATCGCACTGATCTGAAGCCAGGAGCCAGGTGCTTCTTCTGGTCTCCCATGCGGGGTGCAGAGCCCAAGCACTTGGGCCATCCTCACTGCCTTCCTGGGCCACAGCAGAGAGCTGGCCTGGAAGAGGGGCAACCGGGACAGAATCCGGCGCCCCAACCGGGACTAGAACCTGGTGTGCCGGCGCCACAAGGCGGAGGATTAGCCCATTGAGCCGTGGCGCCGGCCATGAAGGGTCTTTATGCGGTGGCTTACTAGGTTAATCCTCCGCCTGTGGCACCAGCATCCCATATGGGCACCGGTTCCAGTTCAGCTCTCTACTGTGGCCCGGGAGGGCAGTAGAGGATGGCCCAAGGGCTTAGGCCCCTGCATGAGAGACCAGAAAGAAGCACCTGGCTCCTGGCTTCGGATTGGCGCAGCGCCAGCTGTAGCGGCCATTTGCGGGGTGAACCAACAGAAGGAAGACCTTTCTGTCTGTCTGTCTCTCACTATCTGTAACTCTACCTGTCAAATTAAAAAAAGTAAAACTAATTTATGAGAATACTATTTTTATTTGTAACAATTTTTTTTTCTCTGTTGTTAAAGGTTGATGATTCAATGAGCGTTAATGACATAGATTTAAGCCTGTACGTCCCAAGAGATGTAGATGAGACAGGTATTACTGTAGCCAGTCTTGAAAGATTCAGCACATATACTTCAGATAAAGACGGTAAGTGTGCTAATTTTTGTATAATTCTGAGAAATAGGAAGCTGTCTAAAGGGGATTAGACCAGGCTTAATAAGCTTGGATGTTTTTCAGTTAACTAGCTGGTAACCTGTGGTTTGGCTGTACACAAAAGTAGAAATGAGTAGCAGAGGCTGTAGAAATACAGTGAGTGGCGTGGTGAATGTTGAAGCTGTTAACTGAAACTGGAAGGGAAGAAAAGGAAGTTTGCAAATGTAACTAATGAAATCAGTTTGGGACCTCTTGAATTCAAGATTTATTTTTGGCTATCAAAAGTGACATTGTCTGGGATCCTTTCTAACATTACAGAAGAAAATTTAGAAAGTCATCTGAATTGGTACTAGAGAATAAATGAGCTCACTCAGGTAAATAGCATAGAATAAGAACATTTTGGAACACATTGCAAGGGACCAGCATTATGGCACAGCCCTTAAAGCCGCTGCCTGTGATGCTGTCATCCCATATGGAGGCCAGTTCGGGTCCCAGCTGTTTGCTTCCAATCCAGCTCCCAGTTAATGAGTCTGGAAAAGCAACAGAAGATGGCCCACGTGATTAAGCCCCTGCAAACCAAGTTGGAGACTCAGATGGAGTTCCAGGCTTCTCCCTTCAGCCTGGCCCACCTGGCCCAGCCCTGGCTGTTGCAGCCATCTGGGGAGTAAACCAGCAGATAGAAGATCTCTTTTTGTGTGTAACTCTGCCTTTCAAGTAAATAAAATAAATCTTTGTACACAAAAATAGAAAGATATCTGTGTGTATAACTCTGTGTTTCAAATAAATAAGATAAATCTTTTTACAAATAAAAAAAAAAAAACTCACTGCAAGCATCATTTAGGGTAGGCAGAGGAGAACAGGCTTAGGAAAGATACTGAGAAATAAAAGATAAAAGATTCGAAATAAAAGCTCCTGAAAAATAAATACGATGATTTGTTAATAAATATGAGTTGTCAAAATTAGGAAAGGAGTTACAGATTCAGGGTGTTTTCATCAGGACTGTAGTGATTTGAGAAATGAAAAAAATGAGGGCAAATCCTACTTAGAGAGGGAAACATTGTCACGGGACTGACTTTTGGATACAGGAGACCTAGATACATGTGTAAGTCAGAGAAAAAGATCTGATAGAGTTGCCAGTAAATACTGGGGGAAGAAAAAATCTGATAGAGGAGGAGAAATTGAAGATGAAAAGAGCTTGGGACGGATATTTGGTGCAGCTTGGGATGCTCACATCCCACATCAGAGTTGCTGGTTTATCTGCTTCTGATCCAGCTTCTTGCTAATGTACACCCTGAGGGACAACAGGTGATGGCTTGAGTACATGGGTCCTTGCCACCACATGGGAATTTCAGACTCCTGGTTTTCACTTTGCTTGGCCCTGATGGCGGGCATTTGGGAAGTGAATCAGCAGATGGAAAAACTTTATCCGTCTGTCTACATGTCTCTTTACTCTTGAAATAAAATGAAATGAATTAATTTTCTTCAAACAAAGGTTATTTTAAAACAAGACCTTGGGGCCGGCGCCGCGGCTCACTAGGCTAATCCTCCACCTTGCGGTGCCGGCACACCGGGTTCTAGTTCGAGTCAGGGCGCCGGATTCTGTCCCGGTTGCCCCTCTTCCAGGCCAGCTCTCTGCTATGGCCCGGGAGTGCAGTGGAGGATGGCCCAAGTACTTGGGCCCTGCACCCGCATGGGAGACCAGGAGAAGCACCTGGCTCCTGGCTTTGGATCAGCGCCGTGCGCCGGCCGCAGCAGCCATTGGAGGGTGAACCAACGGCAAAGGAAGACCTTTCTCTCTCTTTCTCTCTCTCTCTCACTATCCACTCTGCCTGTCAAAAATTAAAAAGAAAAAAACAAGACCTTGAAATGTAAATAATGATTAAGTAGGTGTGTTTGGAGATGAGGTTTTGTTGGTATAATTTATGTCTAATTGTACCATGAGTACATGAGGGGTTTGAAGAGAGGTAAAAGTTTGATATGCTTGGTGTGGGATAAAAAGGTAGGAGTAGTAATTAAGCCAAACCCTAAAGGAGAAAAGGACACAATTGATAATTTGAAAAGCTGCCTTCCCTCCTGAGATCTGAGAATACTGTCAAGCGTGTTAATTCACCAACATGCAGACTGAATTGCTTCTTTTAAAAGAAGTAGAGCTTTGGTGACAGTACGCACAATTACAAATATTTCAGAGGTTATAATCACAGGACTGTATTAGACATGTTTTAAACTGCTACAATTTGAAGTTAGGCTGATAAAATTATTTGTGTGCATATTGGTGTCATTTAACAAAAAAAAGGCAAAATTTTTGTTAGTCACTTAATGGTCTCTGAAGAAAAGTAGCTGCATAGCTCTGTGTTCTTTCTTAACAATTTAACATGATAGATTGGTCTGATTTCACTAACATTGCAGCTAGTGTGATTTAACTATTTGAAAAACCAAAAACCAATTGCTAATATTACAAACATTTTTGGTTCCATAATGATTTAGTCAAACAAAATACTACATGGATGTTGATGATTTTAAAACCTAGTTGCTAGGTTAGGTAGGGTACACAGTTATACAAGATTTGTCTTACCCTCAAATGTATAAACCATTATGCAAACGTCTAGTTAAAGTATTTCATAGCAGATATATAATAGCAAATAAGCTCAAAAATTGTTTTTAAATATTTATTTCATTTATTTGAAAGAGTTACAGAGAGAGCGATATCTTTGATCCGCTGGTTCAGTCCCCAAATGGCCGCAATGGCCAGCGCTGAGCTGATCCCAAGCCAGGAGCCAGCAGCTTCCTCCAGGTCTCCTAAGTGGTTGCAGGGGCCCAAGGACTTGGGCCATCTTCCACTGCTTTCCCAGGTGCATCAGCCGGGAACTAGACTGGAAGTGGAGCAGCCAGGACCCGAACCGGTGCCTACATAGGTTGCTGGTGCTGCAGGCCAGGGCTTTAACCTGCTGCACCACAGTGCCTGTCCCTCAAAAACGTTTTTGCTAGAGTAATTACAAGGAAAAATTTCATAGAAAAAGGACAAGAGGAAATATAATTAGTTTGTGCTGTCAGTTGCCAGTGGAATAATGTATGTTGTTTCTAGGCCTTATTAACTTATATTTTTATTTTTAGAAAACAAATTAAGCGAAGCTTCTGGAGGTAGGGCTGAAAATGGTGAAAGAAGTGATCTGGAAGAAGACAATGAAGGGGAAGGGCAGGAAAATGGAGCCATTGATGCCGTTCCTGTTGATGAAAATCTTTTTACTGGGGAAGATTTGGATGAACTAGAAGAAGAATTAAACACACTTGATTTAGAAGAATGACACCAAGCAAGTCAATGACAAAATTAAGTCAGCTCAACGTGAGTTGAAATTGACTACATTAATTTTTTTCCGCCTAGAATCAACAGGATGTTTGTTTCTCATGCTGATTCTGGAGGGTTTGTTCTCCAAAAAAGGAATATTCTCCCTACGTCTTCTCTTCTGACTTTGACTACATCTCATAGTAAGTTCAGAGTAGTTCATGATAAATTGAAAATATAATGGTCATTGCAGAAAATGATTGATTGTTGTAACTGTCCACTCAAGTAGGAATTGTAACTGCTTTTTCAGCTTTTGGTTCTCATTGGGCATGTGTTATTCCCTAAACAACATAAATTTACTTTAAAATACCCTTCATTTGATGCAGTTTTTAGTGAGTGATTTCATTTCCTTTGTATTTATATGTTTAAAAGACTGCCTGAATATGAGAACTGTACTTCATAAAGGAAACTGCATATGCAGATTCAGTATTGTATATCTTTGGACAAGTAGATGGACATTTAAAATGGGACTTTAATCTGACAGGATCAGTTATAATGCCCTGTGTTAAACTGTTTAAAAGTTTTCCCTCTTCTTTTTTGCCAATAAAGTTGTAAATAAAGACCGTCATACATTAAAATTAAGTATGGGCCTTCGTTTTATTTTTTCTGTGAAAATTTTCTTAACATTTTTAGCTTCAGGATTTTAACTAGGTATCATATAGTATCACATAAGGCAGGATACTTAAGTTATCTTAATAACTACACAGAACCATGTAGAGTACTGATCGTGCTATGAGTTTAATACTTAGCTTCCAAAAGAGACTGTAGACAGTGTTATATGAAAAGGTATTTCTTGAAATTAATTAACCTAATTAAAAAGCAACTGATAATTTAGCCAAATACTACTTAAGAATCGTTGCTAAGAACCATGTGTTAAAATAGTGCATATTAAAGTTCGATTACAGTTGGGAAGAAATTGAACAAATTCACCAGAAAACTTTGGGCTGAAGGTCTTTGGGTAGTAGCACATTTTAAATGGAAGTAATTTGTTAATGACATACCTTTTTAACCATCATTGTATTGTTTTTTTTTTTTTTTCTAAATAATACTGTGGTTCTTTTGTTATTTGCAAATATAAGTGGATTTTAAGGTTACTAAGATAATAGCTTAACTGAAGTGGTAAGTGACCTAAGATCCAGCCTCAGGTAAATTGTAGGATTTTTTAAATTTCTAGTTTCTTTGTTCTTTATTTGCATGTAAAAATTAAAACTAAATGATCTCTGAAGTGCTTTTAAATTGTAAAACGTAAGACAACAGGGTTGTAAATCAAAGTTGATAAAGAAATTGACTTCCTAGCTATTCAATACTAGTAGTACTATAATTTGCACTTTTCAAATATAGGCTGTCATAGGCTAAGGTTTTCTTCCCATCTGTGGTAAAATTGTACTTACATACTTCATATATAAAAGAGACTGCTTGAGTTTTAAAGTTTATATTCATGATATATTTGTTCCATTCTTTTTGTGAAAAACCTTAGATTTCTTTTAAAGCTAAGGGAGATGGAGAGAGGCTGGTATATGTCTATGCTGTCCAAAAATTTAAAAAACAAACAAAAAAAAGATTTATTTGAAAGAGTTACAGAGATAGAGGGAGAGACAGAAAGATCTTCCATTGGTTTACTCCCCAGATGGCCTCAATGGCTAAGGCTGGGCCAGGTCTGAGACAGAAGCTTCTTACAGGACTCCCACTTGTATGGCAGGGCCCCAGACACTTGGGCCATCTTCTGCTTTTCCCAGGCCATTACTGGGGAGCTGGATTGGAAGTGGAGCCCAGGGAGCAGTGCTGTGGCGCAGCAGGTTAAAGCCCTGGCCCCAGTGCCAGCATCCCATGCGGGTGCCAGTTCGAGTCCTGGCTATTCCACTTCAGATCCAGCTCTCTGCTATAGCCTGAGAAAGCAGTGGAGGATGGCCCAAGTCCTTGGGCCCCTGCAACCACTTAGGAGACCTGGAGGAAGCTGCTGGCTCCTGGCTTGGGATCAGCTCAGCACTGGCCGTTGCGGTCATTTGGGAGTGAACCAGCGGATGGAAGACCTTTCTTTCTCTGGCTCTACATCTCGCTGTAGTTCTTTCAAATAAATAAAAAAAAAAAAAGAAGTGAAGCCCATAAGGTATGCAGGCATCATAGGCAGCAGCTTAACCCACATCACAACACTGACTGCAGAAAAACTTAAATGTTACTGCCTTATTTAATAATGAAACATTATCAGAATGGTCTAAAGAGCTTGAGCCTTTTAGAAGCTGTAACCCAAGGCAGCATTGTGGCATAGTAGGTAAAGCTGCCACCTGCAACTCTAGCATCCCATATGAATTGTTGGTTCATGTCCTAGCTGCTTCACTTCCAATCCAGTTTCCTGTTGATGGCCTGGGAAAAGCAGTGGAGGATGGCCCAAGTGTTTGGGCCCCTGCTACCCATGTAGGAGACCCAGGTGAAGCTCCTGGCTTTGACTTGGCCTGGCCCTGGCTGTTGGGGCTATATGGGGAGTGAACTGGTAGATGGAAGGGAGGTGACTTTCACGTAAATAAGTAAAAATCTTTTAAAAATTAGAAAAAGCTATAACTCAAACAATCCTTTTATCATCTAAAATTTAAGAGTTTGTATCAAATGGAAGTTAATCATTTAGTTTAGACCTGAATTTTGGGGGTTTCTGCCCCCCCACACACACACCCTTCCCACATGGAAGGTAGGTCTGTATAAACAAAAATATGCTTGGAGGCTTTTAGGTGTTTATTTTCAAGCATCATGACTTCGTTGTAAATATTTTTTGATTTTGAAAACCAGGTTTTCTTTAGTAAGTGAGTCAAAGGAAAAATGCTTCAATATGGAGGTAGTTACTGCTACCTACCTACCTGTCTTTAATTCTTAAATAGCCTTTGTTTATCTTATCTATCGTGCTCTGAGGCAGTCACTTCATGATTCTGATTATCTTTGCTCAGAGAATGCAAAGGCATTTTAAGCTAAGAAAATCAAAATGGAGGCCAGTAGAAATAATTTTGTTTATGGTACAGTTACTCTATATTATTAGTACAGCTAATCTGGAAGTGACTAATTTGTCAAGTCTATTTCCTTTTATTCTGAAAAATGAGATTGTTTTCCCAAATGTAAAAACTTTTCATTTTCTCCTTAGTATCTATGAAATTTCCACTGTCTACACTCTTTCTATCCTATTGTCAACAACTATTACAGCATGTAATAATGCCATGTTTTCCAGAATCTTTCTAATTCATTATAGTTATATTGTAGACTTGACTTTCTTTGCACAGAAGGCTTATCAAATACTGTGTCCATAATGTTCTGATGTAAGTTGTGTAATTTGGCAAATTTTTTTTAATATTTGATGTAGTAGTCAACTGAACATTAAGTGATTTAAAATGTAATAATAATGAAACTAATGGAAGAGAGGTTTAGATAAAGATCATTAAGAAAGTTTTGCACCTATCCCCACAGAAGTTTATACAAATGATTATTGGTATTACTGTATGTTTTATTCTGGGTAGTTTATTTTGTATAAAGAACTTTCAGGATTACACACTACAAATCCGTTACTCCCTATGAAAAGTAAAGAACTGATTCAGATATAAATACTATTATGTTAATGCTTGTGGGTACTTAGCACACTGTTCATATCTCATGAAATCAAATACATATTTCAATGAATGAGCACTAAGGAATACCAAATAAGAGGATGAACTGTCAAAATTTAGTTTGGGGTTTTTGTGTTTTCTTAAAGTATAAAGTATATATCCTACTGATAATTGCAGTGTTTTATGAATAAAGATAATACCTAGTTTGTCAATAGTCGAAAGTACTAGGAACTGACCTCTTAATTAAATGTAGAATATCACAATATCCACAAAATTTTATTCCTTCAGAAACAAACCTTAATGAAATGTTAGTATAAAATGTGTTTTCATATCTTCTGCCACCTTTCTTAATGCTGTTTTCCCTTTTATTAATTGCTGTTTCTTAATGTGGAAAGAGAAATGATGGCTAGTTTTCATTCATTCAGCTAAGATATTTTTGTGCATTTTCACATATGTATATTGAGCACCATAGATAGTATGTGACATTTAAATACATGGTCTCTACCTAGTTTGAGTATACATTTTAGAAGGGGAATAATAACCACTGCAAGGTGGAAGGGGTAAGTGCCTAACCATTAATATGGATGCCTTTTCAATCAGACTATAGGAAAACCTTTCAGTCATGTTACATTCAGATTTAATTGAATGTTTAAAAAAAAAAAAAAACGAAGATGTTCCTATGAAAATACTGTGTCAAAAGGCATTGAACACTTACATTTTTTGTCAGTCTTGTCTAGGATATGCCTGTTTTTTTTTTTTTTTTGGTTTTTTTTTTTTTTTTTTTGTTTTTAAGATTTATTTATTTGAAAGACAGAGTTAGAGAGGTAGAGACAGAGAGAGAGGTCTTCCATCTGCTAGTTCACTCCCGAGATGGCCGCACCGGCCGGAGCTGTGCTGATCCAAAACCAGGAGGCAGAAGCTTCTTCCAGGTCTCCCACGTGGGTGCAGGGTCCCAAGGACTTGGCCCATCTTCTACTGCTTTCCCAAGCCATAGCAGAGAGCTGGATCAAAAGAGGAGCAGCTGGGACTAGAACCGGCACCCATATGGGATGCTGGCGCTTCAGGCCAGGGCTTTAAACCACTGTGTCAACAGTGCCAGCCCTTAGGATATGCCTGTTTTAAAAGAACCGTGTATCAGTTTCATTCCAAATGAGCCGCTGTTTAATTTCTCCTGTGACTCCTTTAAACCATATTTTCATCAGTCTTAAGAAACTATTTCAGAAACAAAAGGCATCTGTATGACTTTTTTACTGTACATTTTAAGAATTTTATGGTATTGGTATTTATTTTGAATAATATGACTATAGTATGTGTGGATATATAGTATCAAAGAATATATAATTAAAAGTAAATAACAAATCTCTTAAGTTAGAAGTGTAGTATAGTAACACGATAGTTGTGTAGTTCACTTCATGATTAGGTATTATTGTAAAGGGGGCGGCACTGTGGCATAGAAGGTAAAGCCTCTGCCTGCAATGCTGGCATCCCATATATGTGCCAATTTGGGTCCCGGCTGCTCCACTTCCTATCCAGCTCTCTGCTAATGCTCCTGAGAAAGCAGCAGAGGATGGCCCAAGTCCTTGGGTCCCTGCACCCATGTGTGAGACCCCAAGGAAGTTCCTGGTTCTTGCCTTCAGCCTGGCCCAGGCCTGGCCATTGTTGCTGTGTGAGGAGTGAACCAGCAGATGGAAGATCTCTCTTTGTATCTCTGCCTTTAAAAATAAATAAATAAATCTTTTTTTTTAAGGAAAGGTATTATTGTATAGATATTTCACTTAAAAATGAGAAATGTGGAAGAAGTAGAATCCGTGGCATTAGGAATGTTCATCCTTGTGTTTTTACACAATACTGAAGAGTGGAAAATAAAGATTTTAGTACCAAAATCCTTTTTTGATAAGTAATTTAATAAGTTAACATTTAATTGAAATAGACAAATAGATAAAAATAAATTTAATTCCATTTTCCATGAACTTCTTGAAGTACTCTTGTAGAAGATGAAATAAGGTGAACTTTTCTTGAAGAAAGAACACCAAATAGTATACTTCAGTTGTTGTCTTCCAGAAATAGTGAGTTTGTGCTTTCAAAGGAATGAATATAAGTATAATAAAACATCTATAACAAAATGTCTTTCTGGGCATTTGAATTAAACAAGACTTGTTAATATGTTAGTATGAAGAGAGAGAGAGAGAGGTAGATATTTACCACTATCACCACCCAGAATCAAAAATATGCCATTCAGGTAGTAAGAAAAAGCAAAATTGTAATGTAAATTGTTCTGATTTTTCCTATTGACATTTGAAAGCTAATGGTACTTTGTAGCCAACTTGTTTTAAGCTTGATTATTACTTAGGAGTTTTGTGTACTACCTTGAACTCTGCCTGTTTATTGGGAGTCAAATGAAAATAACAAGTTTGGGTTTTGTTTTGTTTTGTTCTGTTTTGTTTCTTAGGTTTCAGTGAGGTTCTTAAATGCATAATGGAAGGATTAAACTGCTCTTTCTTCCTAAACCAGAAAAGCATCTTTTGCATCTCTTCATCTTCTCTTCCCTTTGATAGTTGAAGATTAGAAGACTGAATGCAGAATTGTCAGGACTTGTCCAGAGTCAAACATAAGCACAAGAAAAAAGTTGTGTGCCAAGGAGATTTCAGAGGCTTTGACAGTAAATGTAGGCCATTGACAGGTTTATTCTTGTACAGCTTGTATTTTTCTATCTGATTTATTATATAACTGGATAAGAGTCACAATACTTGCCTGTAGGAATGAGAATGAAATCTTCTGTGAGAAATAGGATATTTTGGAATTTGTTGTGCAATGACTTTTACATGAAGACTTTGCCAAATAAAAGTGAAATATATTTTTTCAAAATGTGAACTTACATAGTGATTTATTAACATCAAAACAGAAAAACCTTGGGGTCAGCAACTGGCATAGCAGGTTAAGCCACAGCCTGCAACTCTGGCATCCTATATGGATGCTGGTTCAAGACCCAGCTACTCCACTTCCGATCCAGCTCCCTGCTAATGCACCTGGAAAAGCAGCGGAGGATGGCCCAAGTCCTTGGGTCCCTGCACACATATGGGAGACCAAGAAGAAGCTTCTGGCTCCTGGCTTCAGCCTGGCCTAGGCCTGATCATTGCGGACATCTGGGGAGTGAACCAGCGGATGGAAGATCTTTGTCTCCCCTTCACTCTCTCTGGAACTCTTGACTTTCAAATAAATTTTTTAAAAAAACCTTTAAAATAAATTAATTAATTGAGCAGAATAAGCCAAATTTGAGAGAGAAATTGGTTGTGACTGATTAATTCCTCTGATAAAACTAGTTTTGAAGAGATCTTTACTAAACTTTTTAAACCGCTTTATTGCTAAACATTTTTAAAGTGTGTAACTTGGTGTTTGACAAATATATTTGTCTAGGAAACCATAATCACAATTGTAAAATAATGCTCATAGTCAGCACTTCCCTAAAGGATTCCTCATGCCCCTTTGTATACCTTTCCTCCTCAAATAGACTACATCCCCAATAATTTATATTTTTAATGCAAGTGGAATCATATGTATTTTTCCTTTCTTTTTGTTTTGTTTATTTTCACTCTGTCATTATTTGGAGATTTACCTGTGTTACTGCATTGATCAGTAGTGCATTTCTGTAAATTACTAAATAGTATTTCTTTGTATGGACAGAACAGTTTGTTTCTCCATTCACTTTTTGTTGGATGTGAGTTTCCAGTTTGGGATTATTACAAATAAAGTCAGTATGAACAGTCATGTACAAGTCTTTGAGTGAAAATGTAATTTCATTTCATTGGGGTAATGAGTGTGGAATGTTCATATGTTTTAGATTTTTAAGAAATTTCCGGGGCTAGCATTGTGGTGCATCAGGTTGAACCACTGCCTGCAGTGCTGGTGTCCCATTTGAGCACCAGTTCAAGTCCCAGTTGTGCTTCCTGTTCAGCTCCCTGCATGTGGGCCTGCAAGTACAAAAGAGGATGCCCCAAGTGCTTGGGCCCCTGCCACCCATGTGAGAGACCTGGGTGGAGATCCAGGCCTAGCCCAGCCCCAGCCCCTGCAGCATCATCTAGGGAGTGGGCCAGTGCACAGAGGATCCTGTTTCAGCCTCTCTGTGTGTAACATTGTCTTTCAAGTAGATAGGTGAATCTTTTTAAAAACAGAATAAAAAAATTTTGCAGTGTTTTCCAAAGTTGTTATACCATTTTATATTCACAACAGCAGTTTATACATCTTCACTAACACTGGATTTGATCAGTTTAAGTTTAAGTCTATAATAAGTTTTTAGTTAAATTTTATATGTAGTCCAAAGTAGACTGGAGTTCACACTTTTTGCATATTGTGAACAGACCTAACTGTTCTGGCACCATTTGTTGAAAAGACTGTTCTCTGCTGAATTTGCACTGTGTACCTGTTAAAAACAACTGACCATCAATCAGTAGTTCAATGGCTTTCTAAAACTTTGATTCATTTATCTGTCTGCGTTAATACCAGGTGCTTCTCCTGGTCTCCCATGGGGTGCAGGGCCCAAGGACTTGGGACATCCTCCACTGCACTCCCGGGCCACAGCAGAGAGCTGGCCTGGAAGAGGGGCAACCGGGACAGAATCCGGCGCCCTGACCGGGACTAGAACCTGGTGTGCCGGCGCCGCAAGGCGGAGGATTGGCCTAGTGAGCCGCGGCGCTGGAGGAATACCATGGTATTTTCTAAAAATTTTAATTTATGAGTGTTCTTGCTAGTAAATAGAAGTAAAATTGATTTTTCCATTTCAGTAATATCTTCTTACCTTGCTAAACTCACTAGATCTATTAGTGTTTTGTTTTTACTTTTTTTTATATATAAAGAGGACAGATTTCATGCATTCCATGGGTACAGTTCCAAGAGGACAACCACACTTCAATCACTCCCCCTTTACCCCAAATCCCCTCCCTCCCTCTCTTCTCTTCCTTTTGTTACTTTTGTAGAACATAATTTTATCTACTCTGTATTCACAGACTTAATACACCACTAGCCTTAATATTCAGCAAGTAAAAGGTACGAAGACCACAGTAACATAGGAGTATGAACAAGGGCTAAGAACCACAGTCATCTCACAAAGTGTCCATTCCATTCCTATGCATTTTTTCTTTGTTAACTGTGGTATATCAGAGAAAATATATGATATTTGTCTTTTTGAAACGCTTCTTTCACTAAGCATAATGCTTTGCAGTTGCTTCCATTTTGTTGCCAAAGACAGAATTTCATTCTTTTTTTGGCCAAGTAGCATTTCATAGTTTAAATATACCACCTTTTCTTTATCTAGTCATCAGTTGATGGATACCTGGGTTGATTGCTTTATCTTACCTGTTGTGAATTGAGCTGCAGTAAGCATGGAGATACAAATAATTCACAGGCTGTTTTCATTTCATTTGGGTAAATTTCCAGGAGTGGGGTGGCTGGATCATATGGTAGATTTATTTTCAGATTTTTAAGGAATCTCTATACTGTCTTCCATAATGGTTGTACTAGTTTAACATTCTCACCAACAGTGTATTAGGGTACCCTTTTCCCCACATCCTTGCCAGCATTGATAGTTTTTTTTGTTTGTTTGTTTTGTTTTTTGTTTATTTTTTGACAGGCAGAGTTAGACAGTGAGAGAGAGAGAGACAGAGAAAAAGGTCTTCCTTCCGTTGGTTCACACCCCAAATGGCCGCCATGGCCGGCGCGCTGCACCGATCCAAAGTTAGGAGCCAGGAGTTTCCTCCTGATCTCCCATGCGGGTGCAGGGCCTAAAGACCTGGGCCATCCACCACTCCCTTCCCAGCCACAGCAGAGAGCTGGACTGGAAGAGGAGCAACTGGGACAGAACCCGGAGTCCGGTGCCTCAGGCAGAGGAATAGCCTGGTGAGCCGTGGCGCCAGCCAGCATTGATAGTTTTTTGATTTTTGGATGAGAGCCATTCAAAATGGGGTGAGATGAAGCCTCATGGTCATTTTTATTTGCATTTCCCTGATGGCCAGTGATCCTGAGCGTTTTTTCATTTGTCTGTTGGCCATTTGTATTTCATCTTTTGAAAAATGCCTGTTCATGTCTTTTGTCTATTTCTTAACTGGATTGTTTGTTTTGTTTTTGAGTTTCTTTAGCTCTTGATAGATACTGGATTAATCCTGTATCAGTTGCATGGCTTGCAAATATTGTCTCCCATTCTGTTGGTTGCCTCTTCACTTTGTTGAATGTTTCCTTTGCAGTGCAGAAGGTTCTTGCTTGACGTAATCCCATTTGCCTATTTTTGCTTTTATTGCCTTACTTCTGGGGTGTTTTCCAAGAAGTTTTTTGCCTGCCAATATCTTGCAGAGTTTCCCCCAGTGTGTTCCTCTAGAAATTTGATATTGGGTTGTAGATTTAGATCCTTGATCTATTTTGAGTTAGTTTTTTTTTAAAGTTTTTTTTTTTTTTTAAAGATTTTATTTGAGAGGCAGAGTTACAGACATAATGAGAGACAGAAATGTCTTCTGTACACTGGTTCAATCCCCAAATGGCCGCAACAGCCAGAGCTGGGCCAATCCGAAGCCAGGAGCTTCCTCCAGGTTTCCCACGTGGGTGTAGGGGCCTAAGCACTTGGGCCATTTTTCACTGCTCTCCAGGCCATGGAATGAAAGCTGAATCAGAAGAGGAGTAGCAAGGACTTGAACCAGCATCCATATGGGATTCTCGAGCCACAGGTGGAGACAGCCCACTGTGCCACAGCACGAGCCAGGGTTAGTTTTTATATAAGGTGTAAGGTAACAGTCTTGTTTCATGCTTCTGCTTGCATAGATACAATTTTCCCAGCACCATTTGTTGAAGAGACTGTCCATTCTCCAGGGATTGATTATAACTCATTTGTCCAAGATTAGTTGGTTATAGATAACGTAGATTAATTTCTAGAGTTTCTGTTCTGTTCCATTGGTCTATATGTCCTTTTTTTTTAAGATTTATTTATTTATTTGAAAGTCAAAGTTAGAAAGGGAGTGATGGAGAGAGAGATCTTTGATCTGCTAATTCCTTCCGCAGATGACCGCAACAGCCAGGGTTGGGCCAGGCCAAATCCAGGAGCCTGGAGCTTCATCCAGTCTCCCACATGAGTGACAGGGGCCCAAGCACTTGGGCCATCTTCCACTGCTTCCCCAGGCCATTAGCATTGGTCTGAATCAGAAGTGGAGCAGCTGAGACATGAACCAGCACTCATATGGAATGCTGGTATTGCAGGCAGTGGCTTTACCTGCTTTGCCACAATGCAGGTCCCCACGTATCTGTTTTTGTGCCAGTACCAGGCTGTTTTGATTAAAACTGCCCTGTGGTATGTCTTGAAATCTGGTATTGTAACATGCTACTAGTGCTTTTGTTGATTTCAGTGCCCTGCCTAGTCATGTCCTCAAAAAATAAAACTGGTTCTGAAAGATTCTTTTCAGTATATGTATATTTTATTTCTTCTGTTATTGCATAAGTCAGTAAGCCTTTTATTGTAGATAGTTGTATTCAGACACATCCATTATGTATTATCTGCACCCACTTTCATGCTACAATGACATACTATCTCTCCCTTTACAGAGATAATTGATGCAACTCTTCCTTACTGCCCTGGCGGCCAGGACCTTTAGTATGATGCTGGATCATAGTAACAGCAAACATTCTTGCCTCATACTACTGAAATAATGATATTAGCTATGGTTTGTTCTTAGATGCCATAGGTCAATTAAGGAAGTTGCCTGCCGTTCCTGGCACACTGAGACTTTGGCTTTTTTTGCTTTGTGTTTTGTTTTAATCAAGAATGGATGTTGGATTTTGTCAAATGTTTTCCTGCATCTTTTGAGATGTTCAACTGGCTTGTTTTTAATTTGTTAATATAAAAACAGCCTTGAGTTGAGATAAACCTCAGCTGAACCTGATGAGTTTTCTTGGAATACTTGTGTCTCTTCATATTGATAAGTTGTTCTGTAGTTTTCCTATGATGTCTTTATTTTTGGTATCAGGGTAATGTGGTCTTCCTCATAAAAGAAATTAGGAAGCATTCCTTTCTCTTTTCTTGAAGGTGTAATGTACAGTATTATTTTTTCACTGAATATTAGGTACAATTCACCAATGAAACCCTCTGGACCTGTTTAATCCACTTTGTTGGCAATGTTTTAAATTATAAATTCAATGTATTTAACAGTAAAGGACTATTGAGATTATGTCTTTTAAGTGAGTTTTGGTAGTTTGTCTTTTAAGGAATTTGTTCATTTTGTCTAAATTGTTGAATGTATCGGTATAAACTTCCTGATCTTCTTTTATCCTATTAGTATCGTACAATATGTAGTAATGTAATCTCTCTCATTTTCCAATACTATTATTTACTGCAATGTATCATGATATTGTCTCAGTATATCATTTTTCTGATACGGCTGGCCAAAGATTTGCCAATTTTTAGTTTTTGGTTTTACTGATTTTTCTTTGCAATTTTGCTGTTATCAGTTTCACTGATTCCTGCTTTGATCTTTCTTTTGACTACTTAGGGTTTGCTATCTTTTAGTTTCCTGACGTAGCAGTTGATGTTATTGATTTGATCCATTTCTTTTCTAAAATAGGCAATGAGGTTCTATAAAACTTCTGACTAATTCCTCTTGTTTACCCACGTATCTTATTTTTAGTAAATGCTACTTTTGTAAAAATCTCCTTGAACAAAAATAGCTTTGCTGCTAATTGAGAATGTTCATATTCAAAAGTAGAGGTCAAGACAGTTTAAAAAGAATAATCTGATTTTTCCTA